TGTCGGCGTCCGTTCCGAGCAGAGCCGCGAACCCGTTGGGGTCGACGTCGGCGCCGGTGGGGGTCGTCGGTGGGCCGGTCGGGCGCGTAAACTTGGACCAGAAAACGGCGGGCGAGCTCGGCGCGTGGGCAGCGAACATGGCCTTGGCCTTGTCCGAGTCGACCGCGCCCGCGTCAGGCGCCTTTTCCGCGGCCAGGTCCTTCTTGAGGACGCCCTCCGGGCCAGACTTTGCCACGGAGATGTCCTTGACGTTTGCGCACGCCTGTGGGCGAAGAGAGTACGCGCAGGCTTTCGGAGACGGGAGAGGGATGATCACAATCTTGGCGTGCGCACGCGCACCTTGGCTCCGAGGAGCGACGGCGACACCGACGCGGAGATGACGAGCGTGATGCGGCCGTCGTCAGCCGGCACGATTCCGACCTTCGCGAAGGACTTCATCGGCGACAACTCGCCCGCGACGTTGCCGCCGCCCGCGTCAACGCCGTCCTTGAGCGGGCCGGGCTCGCCCTCGGACGGGACGTTGCCGGTGCCGGTGCTGGCGGTGCCGGTGCCGCCAGTGCCGGTGTCGATGCCATCCTTGAGCGAGACGGGCTCGGAGGGGATGCCGACGGCGTTGCCTCCGCCAGAGTCGATGACGGTCGTGTTGTCCGCCAGAGACGCCTGTCAGCCACAGAACGCGAGAGGGTAGTCTTGCAGGGAAGGCGCAGCGTTGCGTGCGTTGCAGCGGCGCGCGCGTGCATACCCCTCACCCAGCCACTGCAAATTAACGCACACCTGCTTGTCAGCAAGCGGCGGCGGAGGAGAGAGCTTGAGCACGAGCTTGTCACCGGCGGCCGGCGCGAACTCGAGTTTGAGCATGTTGATCGAATGAATTCCTGCAGAGAGGCAAGAAGCGGTTAAGGTGGGGCCGCCGGCACGCTCGCTCGCGTCCTCGGCGCTCGGACTGGAGCCGGGCGGCGATTGGCGAGCAAGCGAGAGCGGGTCGCTCTCTTGCCAGAAGAGAGGGAGGGCGGTCGCGCGGGACAAGGGTGGGGAATGGGCAGCAGCGGACGCGTCTCGCGCCCTCCTCAATGGCAGCGGCTGTACCTGCGAGCGGGAGTAGGCAGGCGGTGCGAGGCCGAGGGGGGAACAGACGCTCGCGCCGCGAGCAGAGGCGCATCGCGTGGTGGGGAGGTGAGGGGCGGCGGGTTCCGTGAGCGATAGGCGTCGCGGGGGTCTAGGCGTGCAGCTCGCGGCGGCATAGTCGGGCGCAATGCGGCGCGGCAAGCGCGAGGAAACGCGGAAAGTGCTGGCCGCCTTGCGACTCTCTCTCCGCGTAGAGCGTTGACGCTGAGAGGAGTACATCTTCGAGTCACCGTTCACACCAGTGGCAGCCGCACAGCTGTGACAGCGATGGGCTCGCCCTCACTGGCCCTCAGTCACTTGAGTGCTGCGGCTTGTGTGAGCGACACTGCTCGGCGACTGCCGGGCACACTGTGAGACCGTGGGTGTGAGGTAAAAGCACGCTACCAGCGAGCGGATGCTTATGCCATCGGTCTGACCTCGGTCTAAATGATTATGGAAAATCATTGCGAAGAATTCTTAAATCCGCGAGAAGAAGAAATCTTGTGCGGCCTGGCGCACTTCCTATCACGCCAGCTCCCTGCTTGTTCGTTGTTGGTCTTTAAAAATCTCCCTGCTTCCGATCCCTCCAAACCCTAGGTGTTGAATACCTCGCGGAGCGAGGAAAAATTCAGTATTATACGTATTCAAGGCCAGAAATCTTGAATTCATGAATACGCCCCCTTGAGGCCCTTGCCCTTGTATTCAAGAAAAAAGAATTTTCGCGCTCAAGATCAGGTGGCCGCAAGGGGGGCCGAGGCAGGGGGAGAAGGAAGCACCGGCTTCCATGCTTCCAACCTTCCATCAATGCTGACCACGACCATCCCAGAGGGCGCCCCTGCGGCCCAGCCGCCGCCGCAGCAGCAGCTTGGACTGCAGCAGGCCGGGCCAGCCCGCGTCGGAGGCAATGGCGGCGTCCGCAAGGTTGCGACAAAGCAAAGGCGCTGCCTGCGCTCGCGCATGCGCCACGCCGTCTCCGACCGCCTCGTGTATTGCCACGAGGCGCTCCAGCTCCGCATCAAGCGCACCAAGGCGGGTGGCGGGCTGGTGGCGGGCTAAAGGAGCCGGGGCGGTCAAGTGGGAGAGCGACTCGGACTCGGACGAGAACAACTCGGACAACGAGGAGGACCTGATGGTCTAGTGGCCGCCCTCTGCCCGCGCTCCGCGCGCGCTGGCGCGCTCCGAGCGCGCGCCGCGCGCGCCGCGCGCTTCCGCGCCTGCATTTGCACTGCATAACTAGTTAGCGGCGCTCCGCGCCGCATGTATTCCGTACGTTCCGGCGCGCTGCGCGCCTTTTGAATACAGTATTGCTCCTGGGAGACCTCTCTGTGAATAGTTAGAGGCTGCGCAGGCCGTCCCGTTTGCATGTTTGCATAAAAAACGCCCCGCGCGCTGCGCGCGCGCGCCAGGCCCGGGGCTCTCCCCGCAAACCCGTAACCCCCCCCACAATATATGTCCTCTCACACTCACACGTCACACGTGCCGCAATATGTGTCACACACGGCGGCTTCTGCCACCTCTCGATCGGTTTCACTTTCTACGCACACCCACCGGGGAAGGGGCGCTTGGGAGCGGGGGCGGGGGCGGGGGCGGGGGCGGGGGCGGGGGCGTGGGCGGGTGCGCGCAGCGCGCGGCGCGCGTGTGCGGGCAACAGAGGGTAGGGGTGGGGAAGACGGCGAGGAGGGGGCGGCGGCGGCGGCGGCGGCAGCGCGCGCGCGGCGCGCGCGACGGAGGGGCGGAGCAGCGACCGCTGGCGCGGTCGCTGCTCCGTCTGTGCCAGGGACGCGCGCTCTGCGCCGCTGCACAGAGCGCGCGTCCGGCAAGGGGGGCAAAGTGTGGCGGCGCGGGACGACTCGCAGGCGTACGACAAGTTCACGCTCGGCGCGAAGGTAAGGTAAGGTAAGGTAAGGTAAACTTCTCCACACACACGAGGTGGTGGGGCAAGGGGGGGCGACCCTCGCGTCTCCACACGTCTAACGACAGGAGCCCCACGGCATTTAAAGTGCAAGGCCCGTTGCCCGTGGATGACCGGTGTGTGTGTGTGTGTGTGTGACCCTGGGTTTGTGTGTGTGTGTGCGTGTGTGTGTGTGTGTGTGTGTGTGTGTGTGTGTGTGTGTGTGTGTGTGTGTGTGTGTGTGTGTGTGTGTGTGTGTGTGTCACGTCAACTGCATCCTCTGCCGGTTCCTCCCGTCGCCTTTTCTTTGTTCGAATGTTTTTCAATCCATCCTTCACGAAACCCTCCCATGTAGCTAGCGTTCTTTGCGAATGTCTCGAGGTGGCCAGCAGGCGCTGTCTGCTCGCGGCCTGTGCGGGTCGCTCGTCCTCCTCGCGCTTCTTTCGTCCTCCCGTCCCTCCCCTCCACCATGGCCTCCTCGGCACTTCTTTCTCCATCCGCCTCGCCCTGCCTTTTCGTATCGTGCCGTTCGCCCTCCATTCGGTGACCTCCATGGCTGTCCGACTCCGTTTGGGTGGCGCTCTCGATACCGTTGCGTCAACCTCGACGTCGCTGTCGCCCTCCCCGTCCCCGTCGTCGCCCGTGCCTCGGTTCGCGTCATTGGTAGCGTTTCCGTTGCCCCCTCGTGTTCCGCCGCCGCCCTCTCTGCTCTGGCCGTTCGCGATTTTGCTCCTCCTGCGTGTCGCCCCTCCGTCTCCCCTTCCTTCGTCGCGAAGGTCACCGCGGGAGACCCATTCGACCTCGCCAACCCGATCGTGCGCGCCGGCCGCCAGTCGTCCTTCGACGCCTTTGACGGCGAGACGTCGCGTGTTGTGGCGGCGGGCGCCGTGGTGGCTGCGCTGAGGCACCCTTCCGCGGTCGAGCTCACCGTCTCGGCCGCAAAGGGCGGGGCGGCGCCGACGGAGGAGGAGTGGGACGTGATGCTCCGCGGGCTCTGAAATAGATCCGAATCGCGCGACCCATAGTTGCAAGGAGCAAGACCCAAGACGCGTACCGTACGTTCCACGTTTTGCTCGTGTATACCGTACATGACTTTCACATACCTCACATACTCATGGGATCTTCTCCACACACACAAGGCTAGTTCCATTTCACTGTGGCACAGCTCGCGTTACAAAACCTTGATTTGACCATTTGCGCAAAAAGGTACATCTCGGTGCCTTCCAGAGGCAGCTG